TTGGTCGATAAACGCATAAAGGACATCCAATTTCCGAATAAACACGCATATATATTATAAAAATAATGGTCGATTATTATTTCAGCGTAGGTACCTACCAAGAAGCCACTATCGTGTTCTTGAAAGAACCACAAACAATATTACTCTTGGACGTTCATTCATACCGACTAATTCGAATACGTATTATAAATTATAATAAACAAGATCAGTCCACGTGCGAATTACTACCGTGTGGGGATGCTCATAGATCGTACCTATATATGACTTTGTACCTATCTGCAGGTACTTACTAATCTGAAGTCAGTACCTAACAAATTTACAGTACCATCAATCAACAACCATTATATTAAATTTAAACAGTCTCGTTTTTATTGATGTGAAACATCTAATGCGGAGGGTGAAACCATCTGTTGGCGCACTCGTAAAGTGCAAACTGCAAAGCGCAAACTTGCAAAGCCACACGTTCGAAACATCGAATGCGCCTTTAAAATAAAGAATAATTTTTCTTAAAAAAATCTAAACATTTTGTTTTCGATTATACTTTATATTATTTTTATTTACTTCCTTCCGATTTCCATGCATATTTTCTATACAAAATAATTCCGATGTGCCCGCGACTGCTTACTTTTTTGAAATTAGTAATTACTTATACATATAACATACATCAATAAATATATTATAAAAGTATAAAACAGGTCTATCATTAGATTGCTTTCTTTATTGTAGTTAATGACAATTTTCAATACCTAGTTGTAGTGAATCGACATGAATAGGAACTAATTAGGTAAGCATAATATACAATATATTCCACATGGACCATATGGGGGCACAAGGAAATAATTAATAAGGGTACCTATATATTTGGATACTTACCATTCGAGACTGAAATACCTCTCACCGCAACAGTGAAGCGTCTTGAATGATTTGAGGGGCCCGTACTCAGTGGTGCTCAGTTCCTTGGTGAACCGAACGCCGGAGTACAGCTGCTGTGCTTCGTCAACTTCTGGGAACAAGTTGTCGTCACAGTAAGCAGCAGAACCACCTCGGACTACGGAAGCGGCGGCCAAAGGACATTTTCGTAAACTTCAATTACTGGACTAGAATGGAGACGAAGAGAAGCCGTGATCTCAATTGTTTCAAACGAAACGCTGAACAGTCATTTTATAATATTATAGTTGGTGACATGCCACGACGCTTACGACGATTTTGAGACGCGATAGGACAGCGACAAACAACAGACAAACATCGACCTCACCGGAATACACCACACTGGTGACTGATCGTAGTCCGTCGTCCCGCCGTAGACTGTCGTAGTAGACGTAGACTGTCGTAGTAGCCGTAGACTCCGTCGTGGAAGCCGTCGGCGCGCGATCACACTAAAACCGCTCTCCGATTCCGCTCACTTCCTCCTCAACAACCAGCCTGTACCAGTAGGTAACTACGGGTGATCACGCTTGAAGAGGCGGGTATTGGTTGGCCGAGTTGCGCGCGCGCGGGACATGTTCCGCCGCCGCCGCTGCCAACCACCAAACAATACATACACACTTTGTATTTTTAATTTTTACCGAGAATCCCACCTCCTGCCCACTCATCATACATACAAGTCCCACGTTAGGGGCCTGGTCGCAATTTTTCAAATTTTCCGCAATTCTATAAAAATTGAAAATTAAATTTTATATTTTAGTTGCCACCTCAATTATAAGACTTTTCCACTAATCTACTACCCAATACCTATTTAGGGGGGGGTTGATAGGGTGTATTATATTGGTCAAAACACAGTTTACAGGAAAAACTCTCACACCTCGTAGATTGGTCCGATTTCCGTAATTTTTTTTTTTGTTAGATAGAAGAATATTTTTTACAAGGCGCATTGGACTTTGATTTTTGATTACGTTGCTAAAAATAAATAATAATACAAAAACTAAAAAGTTGTAAAAATGGATTAAATTCAAACTTGTAATATAAGATTTCGAAAAATAATTTTGAAAATCCAAGTCCAATGCGCCCTGCAATACGTTTTCCTCTATTTAACAAAAAAAAAATTACGGAAATCGGACCAATCTACAAGGCGTGAGAGTTTTTCCTGTATGGCATGTTTTTGAGCAAAAAAACAGGTCGCGACCAGGCCCCTTAATGACACCGCTGAGCAATCGTATAATATATGTATGTCTACATGTAAAACTTGTTGCCACCACACAGAAACAAAAGGTTTTTGACTTAAGATCGGGATTGTGGACCACAACTATATCACTTGCAACCGTCTGCTGTAGGTATTTCATCTGTAAAAGCAATAAGTACTAACTATTGTTTTAGGTATTTTAATTTATTTCAAGCATCAACCAGTTTGAACGTATGTATGATTAATCAATAATCATTATACCTATCTAGACAAATATTATTTTTTTCATATTTTTAAACTGCATATTAGGAATTCTGTATTTTTTTATAACATTATTATAATTTTACCTCCTCCTCCTTTATTTTCTTGAACTGGGTAATCGTCTTTCTTTCGTTTTTATGTGGTAACATATAATTTTAATATTGAATTCTCAAATTAAGATTATTTTTCTGAAAATATTGATGCGCAATGCGCATAATCATGTATAGGTACTAATAATAAATTATATCGGTTTATTCTATAAGATGAGTTACTTAATAATTAATACTAAGTTTTTGGGAGAGGAGAAGAGTACCTATACGCGTATCTTATATTATAAATTGTATTTATATAAACAATATTATTTAATCAACTCTATGGTCCAACTCATTGTAGTTAAATGTACTACAATGTAATGTAATTGACCATCTATAGTATATATTATACTCTATAGTGATAGAAAATAATATGATGACTGCCATCATTGAATGTTTCTGAGAAATTAAGAAGATAATAATGTTATGTATCACAATACGATAGCATTATGCTTCTATTCAGAGTTGGATATCCTTCCCGATTACCATAATTGTGGGAGGGGGAATTCATTAAATTACATTGGAAGAAAATGTATTCAAATTTCAAAACTAACTTATAATACTAAACATCTATACGTAAACATATCACAACTACACAAGGCCTTTGAAATTTGCTAAGTTCCATTATAGTATTTAAGCCATATTAAGATGAATTCCAAATGATATTAACCAAATTCTAAAGCAAATTGAACTAATTTCACAATAATGTGATTAAATGGTGTACTCTTATGGTAAATTTGAAAATACTTAAATACCCTTAGGCTTTAACTAGTTTAACTGATATTATATATACTAATTTACTTAAGTTAAGAAAATTACTTTAAGATCATATTATAACAGAGTATGAAATAAATATCTATGTATTATAAATAAATGTACTATGTACATACCTACATAATATTAAACATAGCCATATAGATATAGGTAAGCTAAAAATCAAATAATTTGGATTATTATGTAATAAACTATGTGTCAGGGACGCCCGTAGGAGGAAGGAGGTAAATGGTGCAAATGCACCACCTAAGAAAATGTTTTCATTAATTTAAACTTTTCAAATAAATAAAAAAATTCGTATTGTGGCTGACATACGTACCTATTTATTTTGTCATGGGTTCACTGACACTGTACGTCTGTACTACAGTCATGAAAGGACGGACATACCATATTTTGAATTTTAATTTTACAAACTTTGACATCATATTTAATTAGATAATAGTGATACCTATGTGATAATATAATATTATAGTTATTATTATTATTATTATCTACTTTGTACCTACTCCGCAGTTGAGCTTGAGTGGTCACTGGTCAAAATATTTTTTATTTAATATCATGACAGAATTTATATTGTGATTAATAAATTACTGACCAGTGTAATTTTGAACTAACCAAAATAAGCTATGTTGTAATTCCTTGTTTTATATAATATGCTGATCATTGATATGTATAAAGATTTTATATAAATGTGGGCGTATCCGAGTTGGGCCCTAGATAATATTTTTGATAAAGATAAACTACTAATTGGGTCCGTCTATAAAAACGGTAACATACTAATTGGGTCCGAATATAAAAACGATAACACATTATAGTTAGGTCCGACTAGAAAATAATACGATAATTACTTAAAAATAAGAAGTGGGCAGAACAAAAGAAAAATTATTTTATTGAAATAAAATTTTTTGGGTAAAATAAATAGATTTGACTTTGTAAAAGCTCTTTCATTTAAATTTTTACCAACCACGTGAATTTTTTAAAATGTTACCATTTACTAGTATACTAATATTCAATCAACTATAATAATAATTAATATATAATATATATTAGACACTTAAAAAAAAAAACATTTTTAATCATGTGTTCTAATTTATGGAGACACCCCTTGTAAAAATGAGTAAGGAAATGGTTTTTTGACCCAACTAGTAAATGCCGATAAATTTAGTGTTATGAGGGTGTGAGGCCATGAGGGGCTTTGCCTCCATGTCTTATATTGACACCAAAATTATTTTGTCCTTAATGAGCCAATTCTCGCCGGGCGTCCACTTTATGTTATCAATAACTACATAATGTATCAACGCTAATCTATTAGTTGTAAACTGTATTACATAGTTAGTTATTTTTTGTTCTGGACCTTGACGGTTCGATCTGGTTTTAAAAATATTATGTTTGTAAATTGCAATTGAAACATAAGATACAATTTATTATATATATATATATTTATTATTATAATATATACATATTATTTTCTTTAAAATATATCATAATGTTTGCAGCATTTGTAATTATGTGGATCTATAAATAATGTAATCACCAACGGTTGCTGTTTGGTGTTCACGCAATATTTCTTATTTGAATAAATATTATAAATACAATTGTGGCGTAACGTTGGTTTTATAAAGTGTTTGCTATAATAATATTATAATAAAAAAAACATAGTTTACTATACTCAGGCGGCTAACAACTCTTGACCGATCCCATACAGCTGGGTATTTTTCTACTGTAGATGATTTTTTGAGTCAAACAGAATAACAATGTATAACGACATGGACTTTGACGTGGCCGCCAACGACATTTCCGAGCAGGTGGTTGTAATACGCGATCCCGAGTTGGCTATGACGATAGAAAAATGGGTGTTGAAACTGACTGCGGAGAACCGGGGCGCAAACGAGCTTAAGTACCTTCAACTATTGCAGTACATGATGGCCCGGGGGAGGATCAACGGTCCGTTCGCGAGGGATCCACCTCCGGGTCCCCTGGTACCGTTAAGTCGGTACGTAAATCCACCTCCTTGCAGTGGTCATGCCCGGGACAGTGGCGGGGTCGAGTGTTGGCAGACGAGCAACTGCAGCAGGGCAGCGCAGACGAGGTGCGATGATGTGAACGGTGACTATGAAGACGAGGCCTTTGAAGAGCAGGTAGACAACGACGCCCGCAACGACGAAACGACAGTAAACGGTGACGTCGTTGGAGACTTGCACAGCAACGGTGGAGAACTGCAATCACCGCGGTTGGAGGGCATTGGCCAAGACGACGGGGTGCAGGCAAAACGCGACGGTCATTTGGCGGGTGGTGGTGGGGGAGAGTGCCGTGGACCAGCCTCAAAGAAAAACCCATTCACCAAATTGTGTGATCCGTGTTTGGACAATTTCGGACGGCACTTGCTAAAGAAACAACCAGGACCATTGGACGCAGCTTACAGGGACTTGCTGGGAGACTGCGCGCTGCCCGTACTCACTGAAGCCGAACAGAAGACAGTCTGTCCGGAGATGTTGCAGATTTTGGAGAATGTCGACGACACCACCACGTTACAAGACTTTTACTTCCAGGTGGGTGGATATATGTATTATACGTGGCTTTGGGATAGCTGCAGGTGGACAACTTTCCCAAGTCACACAGCATTTATTGCTGTTAATCACAATAGTCAATTATAGCTGAAGATAAATAAAACCTCTGATCTTTAGGAGACGATGATTATACAGTGTGTAAACGTTAATCGAGAACACTCAATATCTTTGCGTAGAGACCTGCTTTTTGAATTCCGTTTTTTTGGCAGTTGTTATGACATAAAAATACACATTTTTATGGTCTTTGAATTTTTTTTACTTAATTAGTCACGCGCATGCGCATGTCAACTTTTTTTTTTAAATGGCAACCCCCTGCTTTAACCACTAATTATTTTTTGCCTATTTTTTTAATGAATTTTGGTAGTTGAATCAACTTTCTAAGTCCAAAATTGACCAAGTTACAGCCTATCAAAAAAAAAAAAAAAAAATAGAAAAAAAAATGCGCTCGATTTTCAGCTTTTTGATTGTAACTCTGAAAATAATTATTTTAGGATTGTTAAACATTGACATTTTTGTAACTATTTATTACGGTGATATTCATACGTTATTTTAACTTCAATTACTGAATAATTTTCTTGCGCTGAATCATGTTTTGTTCACGGCGGAGAACAGTTTGAACAATTTATTCGTTAGATTTTTTTTTAATTTTAGATTTTTATTAACTAAATAAATTGGTAACTTAAATAAGAATTGAATTTGTTATTAATTATTAATACGTTCTAATAGATCCATTAAATGTAAAGAAATAAACAACATACTAATTTACGTTTTTTCTGCTATAATAAGTTTTATGATTTATTACACAAATTAAAGAAAAAATTATTCAGTAATTGAAGTTAAAATAACGTATGAATATCACAGTAATAAATAGTTACAAAAATGTCAATGTTTAACAATCCTAAAATAATTTTAAATAATTTTAAATAATTTTCAGAGTTACAAGGTTTTTAGTTGTGTGGGATAGAAGCCTCACCACTCACATTGATGTTTAAAATGTTAGACCCCCAGAAATTTTAATGGATTTGCGTCTAAGCATATTTCAAATAAACTAAAATGAATTGATACATATAGCTATTTTATCATTTTTATTCTTTAACCATATATAATAATAAATTATAATAAACTAAAGTAAGCATAACAATACCAATATTGTACAAACAAGTGGCATATCCAGAAAATAATCATGGATGTGTTAAAGGGGGAGGGGTAATTAAAATGTATCCAATAGGTACTAAAAAAAATTAATATGATATAATATACCAAACCACTCAAGAAAGGGAGTATTTACCTCATTACCCCGCTTGAATCCGCTACTGGTAATAACCATATTACATGCTATATTAATAATAATATGATAAAACAAAATTTATAGATAATTAATTAATTAAATAAATATTAAACTATACTTTAATATTATTAAGTTATGCGATTATTTACAAATTTTCACGATTATTCGATTAAACCATCTAAAATATTTTATAATTTTATTAGTCAAAATTATTGTTAATTTATTTATTATCGGAGTTTATTTTTATTCATTATCAAACATATTTTTATTTATGTAGCAAGCCAAAAATAGTAAAAGTAAATTATGTTGACAAAAGTATTTTGAATTTTTTTTTAATTGGAACACTGGTAATGTTTACATTTTTGTCAGGCATAAATATATTATATTATAATTATCTTTGTTGGCATTTTAAATACAAGTATGTTAAATTTTATATTTATACGCGTGATTAAAAAAAATAAAAATAAATTTGTATCATACATATAATAATTAATATTATAATATGATTTATGCATGGTTGACAGTAATCACAGTTAATAACTTAATACTATGGGGATCGAAATTTCCAGAAAACAAGATTTTCCAAAAAATACACTATAACTAAAACACGTTGTTTTCCTGGAAAAATAAATTATAAAAAACTTATATAATATATCTTAGATGTATTAATTAAAAATTCAAAAATAAATACTCACAACTACATAATTATAATATTTTTGGAACAATTATTCGTGGTGAGAACGTTATTTTACTGGGATCAACATAACATAATAGACTATGATAATAATACCTACTCTAAATTTCTAATTTATACTTTAACAATAGACATCTTTTTTTTCCAATTTGTGTATTTTTGTATACTGAAACATTGGTGAAATCCGAATTTAATATGTTCAACTTTGCTTTGAAGCAAAAGCAATTTTAAGTTAGTCACATTAGTCCGTATTTTGTAGTAGGCCAAAACATTATAATTTAATTTATTACAAAAAAAAAGTTTTGACTTTTCTGATCCTTCTTCTATTCTTTTAATTGTAATTTTTTTATACTTTTAAATTATATAATATATACTTTAAATGTTGAAAAACTTCAGGTTTTTTCATTTTATATTCTGTTTTTAATGCGTACCTATATAATAATATTGATTTTATAACATATAGTTTCAAATGTACAAATGTACAATATCGATAGTAGATACATATTATCACACATTACCAGTTTATTCAACACACATGCTCGTCCCTGTTTTCTTTTGTAATGAATTTATTGATTTTTTAAGTAGCTAGTGTAGGTATGTACACAAATTATATCACACTATTTTTATCTTTCAATTCATGAGACAGTACAGAATCACTCAACATAAACTGCATTATACGCCTTAAAAATTAGTACATATATTTGTACTTAGGTTATTAACATAAATATGTTTTTGAGCTGGGTACAAATATTTTTATTATCTAATTGATTTTGCGTAACGCCTTGTTTATAAATATAGAAAAGGATAAAATGTAAAAATTACTTAATTCCCACTAGGTAAATAGGTATATAATATACAATTAATGGTTACTTATTATTAATACATATTTATGATTCATACATTTTCTTCGAAGTGGAAAATATCGAGTAGCGTGCTACGTTTTAGTTGATAATTAAACAGTACCTACTTGGCTACTTTGCCATACATTATAATACACAGGTTTTTTCTTAAATAGGTAGGTACTTACATTTTTATGCCATTTGAGAAATGCTCAGTGGTAATGAAAATTCCTATTTTATTTAAAAATTATCCACATTTGTGCTGTATATTTTAATAACAGTTGATTTTTATTAAATGTCGATGCTTTTCAAACTAGTTTTTTTCAGAATTTTGAATGTACTAAAGAAAATAGTTCATGATAATGGGTTTAAAGACGTGGGGGCTATGATAATTTATAAATATTATAATAGGTAATTAATAATAGATGCCTATACACAATAATATATGAATATTTTATATTATATTACATATTTTTTAATTGTTCGAGTAAAATATTAGACTAAAATATATTAAAACTATTGTATGTTTGATGTAAAACTATTATTAACTATTATTAATATTATTAGAACGCAAAGTTTAATATCTCAGAAGCAGAGAAGCTGCTACTCTGTTACATGCGGCCCTTCAGGGATCCAAAAGCTGATGTACTTTGATAAATAATAATAGTCAAATTAGTATAGTAATCAAATGTATTATATTAAACCAGACAAAATAAGCAGAACAGTTGTGTTGATTGTAGCGAATTGTAGCTCGTTCCAAAATTGATAATCTCCGTGTAAGTTGTGTGTGATGGCTGGGCGGCTAAGCGAATCGTGTGTTGTTCTCGTCTCTGGATACATCTACTCAGGCTGTCTCGCTGTCCCCTATATATATGGTGGCGGCGTCCTTTGAAGTGAGCGGCGCGTGTACAGTCGTCCTTGATATGGACCTCACGACTAAGAGTGGTATTCTTAGTCGAAAACACTTTTGGGTGTGGTCGCATTCCTGGTTGTTTTTATGAGCAAATACATGATATTACGTAATCCCATTACAACTTAGTTGAATTTCTATTTAGGAACATAAAAAAATGCAGGTGGTTCTGAATATTGGAAAAAAACAATGTTTATTCTGCAACTGCAGGATGCTTACAAAAATTCCCGGTTACTAAAAATATAATAACTAGTTTACCAACTTAAAAATAAATATATATATATATATCGGTACTAACAAATTTAAAAATGTGCAGAATTTGAATACATTTAGGTATATAATATTGTATATTCGTAAATGTAGCATGTATATGTTTGAGGACAAACGGGGAGAGCATGTTTGGTGAATCATCAATCATCCTTCAGTAATATACGTAATATATCATTTAATAATAATTTGCTTACTGGACTGTGCAGGTGGCGCTTTGCACGTGCGATGAAGGGGCACTGATGATGAAGTTGTCGGACGCTATGGTGGACGACTTCAGGACGTTCGTGTCGGACGTGTTCGAGAGCCGAACGGAACACATCAGCGACGGTTTGGCCAAGGAGCAGATGGCACTGTGCGAAAAATACGCGTATCTGTACGACCGGACGCTGAACCGGGCTACCCTGGCCATGGATTTCCTGCGGGAAGCCATGCCAGTGTTCAGCTGGCACAAATACCAGGCGGACCCGGATGTTTCCGCCGCAGAATGATTTAATTATCCGGATCATTTTAATTTAAATATCTTAAGTAGGTATCAGCAATACTACAGAACAGCTGGACACACGCATCACTATCTTTTATTTTTGTATTATTTTTTGTTATCTAAACCCACCAAAAACATATATGTAAAATGAGAGCCAAGTTCAATACTATAATAATATATACCTTGGTTGTTGACTTCAACGACAAAAGAAGTGAGATCTAAATGGGTGCCAAGTTAGGATAATATATTGAAGCCTAAGGTGTGACTTGGCTACTTTTCATATACGAATTATTATTATAAGTAGGTACCTACTAAAACAGTAATGGAAGAGTGAAGATGATTTTCCGAAGAATAAAATAAGAACTCAAAGCTTTAGAACTTGCAAATGCTATAATATATAATTCGTAGCCAAGTCAGACCTTAGGCTTCAATATATTATCCTAACTTGGCACCCATTTAGATCTCACTTCTTTTGTCGTTGAAGTCAACAACCAAGGTATATATTATTATAGTATTGAACTTGGCTCTCATTTTACATATATGTTTTTGGTGGGATATCATTACTTTTTGTATGTAAATTATTATAACCTAACCTAACCTAGCCATGACGTATTCTATAAATAAAGTTTATTACTATATAATATAATTCAGTTACTAATATTAATAATAATATTTATTATAAAATATTTTCCGTTGTATATACAGAGTATAAAATATATGTAAAATTGTTATACAATTATTTTAACTCTTTTTGAGTATATTTTTAATTATCATAATTTTATTGACTGTAGTTTCTACTGTTGGGTGGATAATTCATAATTTGTAAGAATAATTATTTAATTATTTTAATTGTAATATTTAAAAAAAATAATATTAATTAAATACATAGATAGAAAAAAAATTATGTTGCTGCGCGCGGGTCGACAATATCGACATTCGACACATATTCGGCTAGTCGTATTTTTGGAGCGGCGATACGGGAAAGGTTATTTAAGTCAACATTACATTAAATTAGAGGCAATTCATTAATAAATTGAAAAATTAAACATAATAGATAAAATAATTTCAAAATTATAATAAAATCAATTGATTAAAAAATTAAAAATTGAAAAATTAAAAATCAAAAATTAAAAAATTTTAAATTAAAAATTTTCAAGTTTCTGATTTTTTCCTTTGTATTTACCTAACTACCTATCTGTATGCCAAATTTGAACTTTCTAGGTCATCTGGAACTGGGTTAGAATTTTGATCTATAGGTAAGTCAGTGATAAAAATGACGATTTTCGGACGATTTTCGTTTTTTGAAGTATGTTTATGAAATTTATAGCACATATGTATCTCGTTAGTCTCAATATATGAGCCAAATTTGACATGTTTATGTGGAATAGTTTTTGAGTTATGAGGGGGTCAAAAGTGGCTCCAAATGGTTCGTGTAATATTACACGCGGTGCTGCTCGCCAGTTCTGTTAGCTAGAACTTGGCTTGACACGCTACCGCGTGTCTAGATTATGTAACACGTAGATTATTCGCGAGCGGTCGTCGACGCGAACTGCGAAGACCCACTACAGGCGCCGGAGTCCAGCAGTCCGTTCCGTAGTGTCTATGCGGAACGAGTGATTCGTTCGTGCACGAATCGCCGTGCTTTTTGTATTGTTGTTATTAGGCGCGAATCGCCAGTAATTTATATTGTTTTTGTAGAGAGCGAATCGCCAGTAAATTATATTGTTTTTTGTAAGGCGCTAATCGCTAACTTTTATTTATATTGTTCTTCGTCGTGGTGCGAAGCGCCAGCTTAATATATTATATTGTGTATCAGTTATTAAAATTGTGTATAAATTATTAGTTTTGTGTATTATCAATTATACAGGCACAGGTAGCAGCTGCCCAGCCATCATGGATAATAAAGATATGGATAGGACATAATGGTCTTATCAGCGGTCTTCCAGGGGAATAATTGAGGCCAAATAAAGTATATCTATATGGAGTATCGACTGTCAACAAAAAATGTAAGCAAATCGCCTCAATTTCTTATCTATGTTGGACCTCAAAACTAATACGTAATGAATTTGAGTAATTTGAATATCCATGTATTTATTATCTATGCCAGCCACGCACCGCCATATCAGTGAGTGTTTTTTTTTTTTTATTGATCTGAACTATACATCGACAACTAGGCCATTAGTACACGAATTTTAGATTACATTGTTAGTATTTTAGCATTTACATGGTTACATTAAATTAAATTGTACAATTCTGTTTTTTTAAGAATAAAATTAAGTTTTTAACGTCTTGAGAGTTTGGTCCTAGTGCTTGACAAATTTGTTCTGAGATGTGGTATTGATTTCGATACTTGTTGTATTTTTGACATTCTGTGATGATGTGGTTGACCGTTAAAAGTACATTGCACGCGTCGCATAGTGGAGGATCGTCTTTGGTCATCAAATAGCTGTGTGTTAGGTGTGTGTGTCCAATTCGTAGACGGTTTATTATGGTTTCTTCTTTTCTACTGAGTTCAGGATTTATCCATGGGTTTATATTGTTTTTTATTTTATTGAGTTTGGTGTTGAGTTTTCGCCAGTGGGAATGCCATTTGTTGTTTGTGTGAAGTTTAATTTCGTTTTTTGCATCTGCGAATGTGGTGGACTTTATGGTTGCAGTTAATGTGGAGGCGATTGCATTATGGGCTTCTAGGTCAGCCTTTTCATTTCCTGGAATGCCTATGTGGCCCGGAATCCATACAAACTGTATGTATATATTTTTATTTTCTGCAAGAAAAGTTTCTTCTTGTATTTGCTTAGTGATATATGTTTGGTTTCGAGTATTTGTGATGGCAATTAAATTGCTGAGTGAGTCGCTAAGTATTATACATTTTGTTTGGTTGTTTGAATATTCAGTGTGGAAATATTTTACAGCTTTGTATATTGCCATCGCTTCTGCTGTGAATATTGATGCTTGAGGTGGAAGTTTGTATGCTATTGTTTGATTGTTTATTATCATAGCGAGACCGACACCGTCATTTGTTTTGGATGCATCAGTGTATATGTGTACGCTGTTTGGGTGTTCTTGCAATATGTTGTTGAGCATGTTTTTATATATGGAGGGCATTGTGTTTTCTTTTTTGAATTGAGTTAAAGTAAGGTTAACATTGAATGTTGTGTTCCAAGGGGGAAAATTGTACGGTTTTCTTTCTAAAATATTGTTTATTTTTATATTTTCTTTTTCGGCTTGCTGTATGTGTTCATTTATTACTTTGATGGCTGGATTGTTGATATTTCTTTTGGTTCTGGCACAATATAATAGCAGTAGTTTTTCTCTTCTAAGGTTAGGTGGGATTTCATTAGCAATGTTTCTAATACTCTCAATTGGGCTGGATTTGAATCCCCCTATTGAAAGTCTTATAGCAGTATTTAGTTTAGTTTGAACCATGTTTAAGTGTTTGGTTTTGGCATTTTTTAACAGTATTGATCCATAATCTGTTTTAGATCGAATTAACGCTTTATAAATCATTAAAAGAGATGCGCTGTCGCCACCCCATGATGTGTGGGCAATTATTTTGATTATGTTGAGTTTTTGAGATAACGAGTCACGAATATTTTTTAGATGGGGTATCCAATTAAGTTTGGAATCGAATGTTATTCCTAGGATTTTAATTTTATTATGGTGAGGTATAACTAAGTTGTCTAGTATTATATTGAGATCTTTTATTTTTTTTTGTTTTGTAAAGATAATACTTTTGGATTTGAGGTTAGAGAATGAGAAGCCAGTTTTTTTTGACCAATCTGATAAGCTGTTAGCACTTATTTGGAGTAATTCTTGGACGGTTTTTAGGTTATTACTTCTGCAAAAAATGTTAAAGTCATCGGCGAATAAATTAGCTTTTACAGGAACTTTGATTGTTTCGACAATATCATTAATGGCCAAGAGAAAGAGTGTGACTGCCAGTGATGATCCTTGTGGGATACCATTTTCTTGGTAGAACGTCTTTGATAAGGTATGTGATACTTTGACCTGAAATTGTCTTTCTTTTAGGTAGTTTGTAATATACATGAACATATTGCCGTTTGTTAAGATTTTGCTTAGTAGAGCTAGTATTCTATGTCTCCATACAGAATCGTAAGCCTTTGTTATATCCAAACTGATCATTCCGAGTATTTGTTTATGTTCGAATGCATTTTCTATTTCAGTTTTTATTGTAATTAGGTTGTCCATTGTTGATCTGGTGTGGCGAAATCCACTTTGCTCTTTAGAAAGTATTTGGTTTTTTTCTAAGAACCATATTAATCTTAAGTTTATAATTTTTTCCATAATTTTTGTCATTGTGTTTAGGAGTGTGATAGGTCTGTATCCTTCAGTGGAATGTTTGTTTTTCCCTGGTTTTAGAATAGGAATTATTATTCCCTTTTTCCATTCTTTAGGTATAACTCCTGTGTGCCATATATTGTTGTATATATTCAATAGAAATTTTTTTGCTGTTATGCCTAGATTTATAATAAAACAATATGGGATACTGTCTGGTCCAGGGCTTTTGCTTTGACATTTATTAAGTGCAGTTTCCATTTCATTGAGTGTTATACTGGAGTTCAAGACAATTTGGTCGCTATTGTTCGGGTTTATCATTGAGATTATTTGTGAGTTTTCGGCTGGTGTTTTTATTCCATTGATAAATTCTTGTGTGTAGATTTTGTTACTAAAATTATCTTGGAAGTAAGCGCCGATTTTTTCGGCGACATCTTCTGGAGCTGATGTTGTTCCTTGTTCGTCAGTTATATGGATTTCTTGGTTTCGGTTTAAACCTTTCAATGAATGGATTTTGCTCCATATCTTGGATGAGTTAGTTTTGGAGTTTATGCTGGTTGTGAATTCTTTCCATGAGTTTTTTTTGCTTTTTTTTATTAAAAATTTGGCTTGGGCACGCAATTTTTTGAGTTGTATGAAATTTTCTAAGGTTTTATTTTTTTTGTACGTGTTTAAGGCGTTCTTTTTATTGAATATAGCTCTTTTAATCTC